AGGTTTGGGGCCAAGAAATTGCTTGTGAGTTTGGGAACTGTCTCACCAAAGCAGGGAAAATGGTTCATTTTGAAATGGCATTCTCATTTCAGAAATGACAGGTATGAGAGAGTTAAAAATTATTAAAAAGCCCAAAGTGGATGAAATGACAGGCCAGGGCAAACAGGAACACATGGCTCCATTTGTTCATTTCATCATCAGTAAAAAAAATCTCTCAGCGATTTTTTTTTCCTGGTGCTTCTGCTGGTGAGCTGGCATGGGCTGGAAGCAGGGAAAGCAGCAAGGAGCAGCTGCCCCACACCACCCCACACAGCAGGGCACCATGGGGCACCCAGAGCCTCCCATGGCCTCCCTTCCACCCTTCTCCTCCCAGGGGCAGTTTGGGACTCCCACCCGCAAAATCCCCAAGCGTCCCAGGGCAGCCCTTGCCTCAGACCGGGGGAAATGTGTGGGGTGCAATGGGGTGCAGAGGAGGAGAGATGATGGGCCATCCTACAACAGGTCCTGTGGGCCCTCCCTCAACCCCCCCCCCTCCGGGGCTCCAATGCCAGGAGCTGCCAGGCACCATGGCCCCGCAGATGCTGGCAGCCCCCCATGGTGCGCACCAGGTTCTCGTAGCCCATGTAGGGGATGTTGCAGCGGATGGCTGCGTCCTCTGTGTGCTTGCAGTCCTCCTGCGTGATGTTCTTGAAGGGGCAGCTCCAAAGGGACTTCTCAGTGCCCAGACACTGCACCTCGTTCATGTGGATGGGCCCCATCCCTGCCGAGGGGACAGCAGGGCTCAGTGCCCAGTGATACAGGGACGGCCATGGCCATCCTGTCCTCATGGCTGCCCTCACTCCTCAGTGTGCACCGAGGGAGCCTGGCACACTCCTGGCCCCCATGGCTGCTTCCCAGGGCAGCACGGCCAAGTGGCCATGGTCCCCTGGCGATGCTCGGGGCAACCCTTGCACCACGTGCGACCAGCAGACAGGCGCCCATGGGACAAGCCCAGCTGTGGCTCCCCCTGCCCAGCAGTGCCTTGGCCCTGGAAAAGCGCCTCGTCCACAGACAGGCCTAGGAGGGCGATGTCTGGCTCCACCCCAGCACCCTCACCTTGGCCCATGCGTGCCCCAGTGAGGGCCTCCTTGGCGCTGCCGAAGCCCAGCTCGCGGCACACCACGCTAGCTGACAGCAGGTTCCAGCGGTCATCACAGATTGTGCCCCACTCGCTGCTCTTGAGCACCTCGACGCGGCCCTCGCCGACCTTCGCGCCACCCTTCAGCCGGATCCGCGGCTGCAGGGGAGTGGGGTCAGGACATGGTATGGGACAGCACGGTATGGCACGGTGCTGAATGGCATGGTGTGGCACACTGCAGCACAGCATGGCATGGCACAGTGTGGCACAACACAGTGCAGCACAGAGGTTGCTGGCCATGACTTCTGGGGTGTGCAGGGACAGGACACCGTCCCCACCTCCTGCTCCACAAGCTGGTCACTGAGGGACCCGCACACCCGCTCTCAGGTGCAGCCCAGGGGACAGAGCCCTGCAACAGCCAGCTGTGGGCCACCGCAGGACTTGGCCCCCTCCCTGTGGGGCTCACCTGGCCCTGCTGCTGTTGGCGCTGCTTCTTCTTGTGGGCATTGCCAGTAGCGAAGAGGGGCCCAGGCACACAGCTGACAACAGCGGGCATGCCGGCCCCACAGGCAGCCGAGGTGTTGCCCTGATAGAACTCAAAGGCGCACATGGAGAGGTGCACCTCCGTCCCTGTGCAGGACACAGAGTGCAGGCGGTAGTTGAGCTGCTGCCGCTCCGTGAAGAGCCTGCAAGGAGAGAGGAGCCCTGAGCCACAACCAGCACGGCCAGCTGGCAGCAGAGATCTTGACAGCCACCCTGCCTGCAGCTGCACTCACTGTCCATGCCCCTTGCACTGTCCCCAAGGGAGAGGTGCGCTGTGCCTGCAGAGCGCCCACCCCTCGCCTGCTGCCTGCCCCACATCCCAAGCAGCACAGGGACACGCACAGCTCTGGCAGCACTGAGTGGGGCTCCTGGCACTCAGGCTCTCCACTGGAGCCATTTACCTCTTCTTGGACCCTACGTCCTCCCTGCGCTTTTGTTTAGGCTGAGATTTGGAGTCCAGCCTGGAAAACAGAAAACAACTGTCCACTGGCTGCAGTGACACAGGGAGCACAGCCTGCCCCAGCTTTCACTGAAGACTGAACTGGGCACGTTGGCCTCACAGGGAGACTCATGCATGTCCCCTTCATGTCACGCATGGGTGCAACAACATCATCTGCTGCCAGCAATGTGACACAACTGCCCTCCACAGCAATGATGCAGTTTCCTGCCCACATCCCACCACGAAACTGCCAGATGCAGCAATATCCCATGCTGCGTTGTCACACAGCAGAAGATCAAACACCACCGGCAATGATTTGATCTGTCAGGTACAAGTGAGGTGTGCCCATGCCCTCGTCCAGACACCAGACAACATCACTGCGCCATGCTCCAAGGGGAGCAGGACGCCCAGCAAACACGGCACCAAGCAAGCAGCGCAGGTGGCGGGTGCTCTCCTCAGTGCTGTGGGGCACGGTGAGACTCCCTGCAGGCTTGCAATGACCCACTGCCAGTGAGGGGAGCTCCCCGGGCACCTGCTGAGTGGTGCGGGAAAGAGGAGGCTGCCTGGGGCCCAGCGCACACGTGATGTAGGTACGGTCCCAACACGCTTAAATGCTTTGCTTCACTTGGGGAGGAAGATGCTGAGCAGGGCCAAAACCCCAGGGACCACAAGGAGTGAAGAGCAGAGTGCCCCAAAACAGGGCAGGGGACTGACACCCCCCCCTTGCAGCCCAGCAAGCCCCAGGACACAGCATGGCGCTGCCAGGAACCAGGATTCAAACGGTCGGCCGGACGACATCAGTGCCCATTCGCACTCATGAAACCACATGTCGATCCTGCAGCCGATCCTGGGTCCCCAGTGCAAGAAAGACATCAGCTAAGCAGTGTGAGCTCTGGGGAGGGCCACCAAGACAGTCGAGGCTGGAGGAGAGATGGGGGTGCAGGGCTGCTCCAGCCGTGGGCCAAGACGGCTTCAGGGGGCTCTGGCAGCAGCTGACCTGCACCTGCAAGGGGCTGTCAGGGAGCCAGAGCCCAGCTCTTCCAGCCATGGGAGGGAAGAGCACAAAAGAAAACAGGCATGTCTGACAATGCGAGGTTCAGACTTGGTGTAAGGAAAACTTTCTCCCTATGAGGGCTGTTCAGCATTGGAGCAGAGGCCACGAGGCTGTGGCATCTCCATCCCTGGAGGTTTTCAAAAGCCAACTGGATGAAGTCCTGGTCTGACCCACAGCTGGCCCTGCTCCACACAGGGGGTTGGACCAGGACTCCCCAAGGTCCCTTCCAGCCTGGATTAGCCTGTGACCCCACGTATGATCGCAGCCGTGCAGCCCCAAATTGATCAGCCCCAGCAAACCAGCACGTGGCTTTCAGGAGACAGAGCCTGCTCCGGGCAGAGGAAAGGGAGCAGACCGCAGCTTCATGGACTTTGCAAAGCATTTCACCCAGTGCTGCAGGGGAAATACCCACTCATTGGAAAAGGGGCTGTCAGCACAAACCAGACAAATAACACCATGTTGCAGTGAGCGGGACCTGTGGGTGGGGGTTTGAGGAGACCCCACAGGCTGACCCCATCTGAATTTCCATCACCAGCGCAGGCATGGCTGCAGGAGCTGGCGAGGACACCTGTTGGGGACACAAAGCTGGGAAGTATCATGATGAAGAGCTTGGGATGGGTCCAGAGTGTGGGGCACCTTCGGCACCAAGGAAGGTAGTGGGACCACCGCAAGGTCATGTGCTGGGGGGGCAGAGCAACATCTCCGTGTGGCAGTGGGCTCAGGCGAGAGGTGCCATGCCATAGCCCAGAGAGGATGGGCTCTGGCTTGCTGCACCCATGACCAAATCTGGAAGCAGGGTTCAGGGATGGAGGGAAAGGGCAGCCAGACTATCCCTTGGGACTGGCAGAAAGGCAGCAAGAGCAAGTGGGCAGAGGGTGCAAGAGATCCCGAGCAGATGTAGCACTCATGACAAGACCTGCCACACTGTGCCCATCACACCGGTGCCCACCACTGCTAGCACTGCCATGCCCATCACCCTGGTGACCAGCACTGCTAGCACTGCTGAGCAAGTGCTCTCATGCCCGCGCCAGCTCACCCTGCCAGCCCACCCTGCAGGGAATGGAGGGGTGCGCAGCCTTTCCAGCTTCCCCGCTGCTGCTTTCTGCAGAAAGCAGCCCATTTCCACAGCCCTCCCTCCCCATCTGCCAGGAGAGATGTCTCCACTCCGAGGCCTCCTGGTCCCCAGGGGGCTGCAGCACAGGACATCACAGCCCTCTCTGCACCTCCCAGGGGATCCTGCCCACACTGGGTCTGCACTGCAGACCCTGACCCCTGTGCCAGGACTCCTGCCTGGTGTGCGGGATGGGGCTGCTCTGCCCTGGGCATGGCTAGCCTGGGAGAAAGATTGTCTCTCACAGGGGATGGGGGACCCCGATGTGCACAGGCAAGTCCCACCGGGGTGGGGTTTGTCCTGCGTGCCCAGCACAGCCTGGGCCCTCGATCTGCTCCGTCCAGATCCATTTGCAACGGGATCCGTTCTGACGGCAGATACCGGTAGGGCCGGACAGCCCAGCTCTGCCAAGGGCTCAGCAGATGGGGCGCCCCAGCCCCTTACCTGCTGCCTGGCCTCAGGCTCCGGCCCTTCATCCTTGCTGCACGCTTCAACCGCCTGCGGGAGCAACACCGCAGCTGCCTGGTCAGGGGCATGTGCAACTCTGGGCACCACACTGGGCACCACGTTGTGGGCAGCATGTCCGTGCCCACACCCCTGGGCCCCTCGCTTCGGCCATGGTGCTGCTGGAGCATCCCTGCCTGGCTCGGCCACAAACCTTCCCTCAGCACGGGGACCCCCGCACTCTGCGCCAGAGGGAAATGTGGAGGTGTACCACTGCCAGGGAGCAAAAGCTGCCCTCTTGGAGCGGCCTCTGCAGTAGCACATAGGGCAGGTGGGCAGCCATGGCCCCCCAGCCACGCTGTGGCCCCCTGGCTTGGTTAGCGAGTGCCCATATGGCCAGCTGGGGCTAGGACTGGTGAGCAACAGGGATAGAAGGGATGCTGGGGAGCCACAACACCCAACAGCATGGCCCCTGCTGTCCCCCCCGCACTGCCCTATGTCCCTGGCACTGTCCCAGCTCTGCCCCAGCCCTGTGCCCCCAGCTCTGCTCTGACACCCCAGCCCCGCGGGCTCCCTTCTGGCCTCACTCACTTGTAGAAGTTCCTGTTCACCTTCTTCTCAGCAGGGAAGCCCATCATGCCGCAGATGACGCGGCTGTTCTGGCTGTCCCAGCCCTCATCGCAGATCTGTGCCCAGCCATCCTTGTGGCGCACCTCCACGATGCCCTCTGTCACTGGCAGCTGCCTCCGAGCCCCGGACACCACCGGCCGCAGGCGGACCTCCTCCACGTGGCTCTGCTCAGTCTGCAGGGCACAGGTCAGCCCAGGCTTGCACTGCACCTGCCACCTCGGCTCCCTGCCAGCCCTTTCCCAGGGATGCCCCAAGGATGCAGGCACTCACAGGAGATGGGGTCCCCAATCCCAGGTGGGGAACAGGGATGGCCAGGTCCTGCATCCCTGCAAACCACATCCGATGGCCCTGGATGGCAGCCAGTGCCCCACATCCCCCTGGCCCCCCGGGTGCCTCTCCTGGGAGTACAGCCAGGAGAGCCAGCGCTGCCATCCCATCACCTCGGGACCCTGCACCCGGAGGGAGGGTGCCCAGAATGCCCCACACCCAGGCACCCACCCAGAGCAGGATAGCAGCAGGGGGTGCCAGGACACCGGGCACAGCCTGCAGGACGTGGCCCCAGCCCCCCTCGCCTCGCAGGAGACCTGCCGTCCAGTGCCCAGAGCTGTGTCATGTCCCCACACCCAAGCCACATCCTGAGCAGAGCCTAGTCCTCCGCAGGCACTGTGGCTGGGGGGGCAGGGGCCCCCGCCCGGAAGACA